AAGACCTCAAGAGCACAGGCAACCAAAGCACAAATAGACAAATGGGATTGCATTTCAGTAAAAAGCTTCTGAACAGCCAATGAAATCATCAGCAGAGTGACAAGACAGCTTGCAGAATCAGAGAAAATATTTGCAAACTATTTATCTGATAAGCAATTAATATCTGGAATATACAAGGTGAAACTCAAACAACCCATCAGCAAAAAAAAAAATCAGATTAATAAATGGGTAAATGAACTGAATAGACATCTCTCAAAAGAAGACATACGAATGTCTGGCCAGCTGGTATATGAAAAAGTGCTCAACATCTCTAATCATCAGGGAAATGCAAATCAAAACCACAGTGAGATACCATCTCACCCTAGTTAGAATGGCTGTTATCAAAAACACACACAAAAAATAACAAATGCTCATGAGGATGCAGAGAAAGGGGAACGCTTATACACTGTTGGTAGGAAGGCTCCTCAAAAAACTAAAAATAGAACTACTGTGTATGATCTGGCAATTCTACTACTGGGTATATATCCAAACAGAAGTAAATCAATTATGTCAAAGAGATAGCTGGGCTCCCATGTTTATTGCCATACTATTCACAATAGCCAAGATACAGAATCAACTTAAGTGTCGATCCACACATGAATGGATTTTTAAAATATTTTCTTCATACACAATTGAATACTATTTAGCCATAAAAGGAATGAAAGTCTGCCATTTGTGGCAACATGGATGAGCTTGGAGGTCATTAGGTTAAGGTAAATAAGTCAGGCACAGAAAGATAAATATTTCATGTTCTCATATGTGGAAGCTAAAAAAAATTGCTCTCGTAGAAGTGGAGAGTAGAATAGTGGTTACCAGAGGCAGGGAAGGTTAGGAGGATGGGGGATAGCCAAAGGTTGGTGAACAGATAGAAAAGTACAGCTAGACAGGTGAAATAAGTTTTAGTCTTCTGTATCACTATAGGGTGACTATAATTAACAACAGTTCGTTGAATATGTTCAAATATTTCAAAATAGGAGAGCAAATTTTGAACGCTCCCAACACAGAAATAAGTGTGTGAGATAGATATGCTAATTGCTGTGATATTTGATCATTACACATTTGTATACATGTGTCACAATATCACACTGTACCCCATAAATATGTACAATTATTGTATGCCAATTAAAAATAATAATGAAAGCAAAAGAAAAAATTTTAAGAAAGAAATGGGCAAAGGGATTGAATTTTTAAAAAAGGAACTGAATAAGTAAAAATAAGTAAATAGCTGCTGCACAGCCAATGAAATAATCAACAGAGTGACAAGACAACTTGCAGAATCAGAGAAAATATTTGCAAACTATTTATCTGACAAGTGATTAATATCCGTTTCTCCAAATACAATGACCAATAAGCACATGAAAAAATATTCAACATCACTAATAATTAGGGAAATGCAAATCAAAACCACAGTGAAATACCACTTCACACTCAGTAGAATTGCTATTACTAAAGAAAAAAAGATAGAAAAAGAAAAGAAAATAGGCCGGGTGCGGTAGCTCATGCCTGTAATCTCAACACTTTGGGAGGCCGAGGTAGACACATCACTTAAGGTCAGGAGTTCAAGATCAGCCTGGCCAATATGGCAGAACCCTGTCTCGACTAAAAATACAAAAATTAACTGGGCCTGGTGGTGCATGTCTAATCCCAGCTACTCAGGAGGCTGAGGCATGAGAATTGCTTGAATCCGGGAGACAGAAGTTGCAGTGAGCTGAGATCATGCCTGGGCTTTAGAGTGAGACTCTGTCTCAATAAAAAAGAAGAAGAAAGAAAAGAAAATAGGACAGGTGCAGTAGCTCAGGCCTGTAATCCCAGCACTTTGGGAGTCCAAGGCAGGCAGATCACTTAAGGCCAGGAGTTTGAGACCAGCCTGGCCAACATGGTGAAATTCCGGCTCTGCTAAAAATATAAAAATTAGCCAGGTGTGGTGGCACACGCCTTTAATCCCAGCTACTTGGGAGGCTGA